AACATAAAAAAGTATAAAAATATATACAATAACATTCATTAACATGTTATACTCGTACAAGAATTCAAACATAGAAAATAAAGGTCATAATTTAAAGATAGGTTAAGCACATAGATTGATGGTGTGCATCATAATATATACACATTTTCATTAAGAAATACGAAATACACAGTCACATGTCTTTTTTGTGACAAAAATGCTGTGAGTCTTTATACTTATGGTCTAGAATTTACATTTAATATTAATATAGTTTAGTTTTTGTTGTTTATTTTTCTATTTATATTTTTGTTTTATTTTGATTGTTCTATGTCACAAACAGATTATGCGTTTATATGATGTGATGTCATGATGTTGTTTTCATCTTAAATGTTCAGTAATTTAAAAAAAGACGTGTTTTTGTTGTTTTTGAGTCTTAATAAGTCACGTAGTGTTACAATATATCTTGCATACATTTCATGTTATAAGAGTTTAAAACTAAGTCAAAATATATGTTGTGCAGTGTGTCATATTTCATATACTTTGGTTTAACTATCCACATCAATTTATGAGGCAAATTGCACTCATCTGGAATTGTGGACTCAAACATATTGTAATCAAATTTAAGACTAAAATAGCAGAATGTCGCATATTTTAACTAAAAATGTCGCTTTGGTAATGCTAATGAATCATCTCCTCAACCCATTTATAAAAGAAAAAGGCAGAATAACTAAATGTTGAATTCTGCTTAAGCCGGTACTAGAGGACATGGACGATAGCATGCAATTACCACTACCATCCGTGAAACTGAACCTGCAACATTTTCAAATTTGCCATGTTGGGCTTTCTTTAGAGATTCTGTTTTTCTCTTTTTACTATTGTATCACATATCTGGCTAGTCTGTATTAAACATTTTCATTACGAAATATTTGACATTATTAATTTTATTTGAAATAATTATATAACATATTTATTTATAATTTGAAACATTTATAGGTATATGTTTGGTATTTGTATGCATTGCATTGTATATTATACATTATAATATACACTTTTGTTGTTTCTTTAAAAATACATTCCGAACATGTACAGATCGCAATCATAGACAGTCAGTTATGTCACGTGAACGTGTGTCATGTGACATTTATATTTTCTTCCATAAGCCCGAATTGTCCAATAGTTTTGTTATATTTATAACGAGCGGTTTATGGTCAGTCGCTTTCAAATGCTTAAAGTGTATTGGCTGTGAATTTGTGCATATATGTAACAAAGCCGTCCAATTAATATAATTATTTTGATAATTGGTAGCGTATACAAGCAAAACACAGTAAAAGCTAAATCTCCGACAACAAAGTAATAAAGTACAAATAAAAAACACCCAGTCATAACAAAAACATATATTATCCGAAATTATCAAATATGATATATCGTTATTGCTTGCTATTTCATATAACAATTCCTGAGCTCGGGAAAATGTCAATAAGAGCACATCTGGTGAGGTTTAGAAATACACACGTGAAATAGCAGCAAATTGCAGTTAATAGATTAAATATCAGATTGATTGCGAAATATTTCCATAAACATTTGTCTTCGTCTTATACTTCAACATTGATACAGAAAAGTTATCTTTATTTATCAAAATATATCAATATGATTTTAATGCAATATATCATTTAACCTTATTTCTCCTGAGGCCAGTTATGATTTCTCATAAATTCCTCAAACAAACAAATATTATCATTTTAGTTAAATAAAATTATACTTTATACATGAAAATGAACTTAGTTGATTATGTTATTTATATTTCTATCTTTGCGTATGACAATGTTATAAGAGAGACGAATGTTTTTTCGTTAGTTACAACGGCTAGTATTATGGGTTATCTAGGTAGAGCTTGTCGTTGCAAATACATGATGTATTAACAGAACACCGTACTAGGATATTGCAAATTATTTCATGCTTTCCAGTGTTTTATTGTAATAATTATATCAGATGCTTATATTCTGATAAACTATTAGTGAAATTTATAAAATATAATTTTCACTGTAGCCGAACTATATCTGAATGCGTATGAAAGGAAAATCATAACTAAATGGAATAACAGGCAGAAACAAATGCCATCATGCGAAAATTTGCTTATTTACGAAAAGAAAGTCGATGTCACCATACATAGTGTTAAAAATATAACAAGGTAAGAGAAATTTTACAGAACTATATTTCAAAATTGATGATGTGATATCATGATGTGATGACGTCAAACAGGAGAATGCGCGACGTTACGCGGCAAAATCAGTAAAAATACTTAAAATCACTAAAAAAACATGAGATAAAAAGAAAATTTATTTGTTTTACATATAAGATTGAAATATATTTCATTCGTGAACACCAGTTCTTATATTTTCACTCGTGGCTACGACACTTGTAAAAATATTGCATCTGGTGTACACTCAGTGAAATTATATTTCAATCTTACATGCAAAACAAACAAATATCCTCTATAAACTTTTACCTGCATCAAGCATTATGGTAATACAAGTTATAAAATGAACGCTCTGACAAATGTTCTAAATAGGTCTTTGTCAAAAAACATACACAGTTTTACTGATGAAAGTTTAAATTGTGCCAATGTTCATAATCCAGGTGATTTGTTTTTATTTAAAATATATATCCACATTCAACCATACGTTACGGTTTCAATTATAACCACCAGTTCTATAATACGAGAGTTTTGCGAGAACTTCTGTCATTTTGGTCTCTATTGTCGTATTCTTTGAATCTTAAAACGTTTAACTGTATTAAGGTAAAATCCAAAAATGTATTCCATAATTTCTTTGTTTGTATTCTTTCCTATTTTTCTATGATCAAGGTAATTAATAAGGAGTTACATGTAAATACGTTAAAATGTTAACTTTTCAAATGATAAAATATACCAAACGTCTGACAATGTATATTAAATGCTGTACTTGACTTTTTAGAGATTCAAAGATTATATTTTTTATAAATGTATAGTAATATTGTATACCATCAACTGACAAATGCAATGCTTAATGTTTCTGAACCCATCTGCGGATGTTTTGAAATTCAAAGTATCACCAGTTTCATATTTAAATGTTGAATTCTGTTTAAGCCGCATGCCAAGGGGTGTGGACGGTAACATGCACTTTCCAGTATCGTCCATAAATAGGCTAATTAAAACCGGGCCTGTAACATTTTAAATTTTGTCTTTCTTGGCGTTCTTTAGGGATTCTGTTTTTCTCTAATTTATGTAGGTTAAGAACTTCAGAGTAATGAACAATTGGAAACTATCGCTTTTATAACACCGTTTTTTATAAGTATATGATCGAAAAGATGGGTGATTATAATTGTGTAAGCCGGTGCAAGAGGCGTGAAAGATTTTGCACTTTTATATTATCTCTCATGCACAAACTCAATCAAATCGAGTATGCAATTTGAATTTACATATAATATTGTTAATTTCAATGCTTTCGAGAGATCACCTCTTGTCTATATTTTTAAGCTGCAGGTCTGTTCAGCAAAAGAATCTCAACACTCTCAATAAGTTAAATGCAGTTATAATCTTCTTAACAGCAGATAATAAAATATAGGTGTATTTTTTTTGTCAAATAGAAGTGAAGTGATAATTGGAACAGAAAATACAAAATGTCCTTGTGCGTTCAAGAGAACCTTTAGCTCGAAATTATTGAAAGTTTCTTTTATTCTAATTGACCAATTTTATTTTCAAATGACTTGTCAATCTTGTTAACAACTGAACTGTTCTTCATTGGACTAATATTAATGTAAAACGATTGATGTCAAAAGTAAACTTTACAGGCATGACGCACAACGTCTTGTTCCACCGTTGTTTGGATAATAAGTATTTTTGGCATATTAAAATGCAGATAAAATCCTAATGTGTCATGCACCTGGCCCGAGTCCCTCAAGTTATTGTTTTTCAGTTTCAATTTATTAATGTACAAGTTATTGCTAAAACAAATTCTGTGCTCAATGCTTTATTTATGTTGTTAAGTACGAACAATAAATATCACAAGGAAACCTATACCTCCTCGTTAGGTGTTCTATATAATGTGCAAAAATATTACATGAGCACCTATGATTTGTCAGGCGTTATTAAACATATCAAAATAGCATCATATTCATCGCAATACCTTTTAATAACTCACGAATCTTTATTATAATTCAATATGGCATGTGCTATATGATATCATCTAACTCTTATTTCACTGAATGTCTTCGAAAACAATGTTTACATTTTATATCACCTTTTATGTGTATTACACGCTGATGATATTCTTCGGTTTTGATATATAATCGCTATCATAATTCTTTTTCACAAATCTTTATGACAACGCCTACCAATAAAACAAAATCTCTAGATAATAGTTTGCTGATAGAACACATGTTCACAATTTACGTTGTTGTAACTTATTACTATGTGTAGAGAGGTACTGTAAGGATGAATAAACCATAATCAACGAATAAGCATTAACAATTCTATACAGTTACTCAGAAGATTAACGAATAGTGGTTGATGCTTGCATATACTCAACATCCTTTTTTCATGACTATGAAAGCAAAACTCAATTACATATTCAAAACATGTTAATATTTGAAAGTAATATAATAGCATACCTTTCTCATACGAGAAAACTATTTTAAGCATAATTTGTATTCATACTTTTCTATTTGTACAGTACCTATATAACGAACATTTCCTTTAAACAACAGTAAAACACACGAAAAGTAGCATGCATATAACATATGAGATAATCGTTGAAAAAGAAAGTGTATGAAAAAATGACAAAGTTATCAATTCTAAAGTTCATAAGTCAAAAGGATTAAAAAATAGATAACGACAACGAGTAGTTCCAGTAATTTAATGGAATCATAAAAGACATATAAAGCATCAATTACAATAAAACCATATTCAATTCATTTCAATAAAACCACATTCAATTCAATTAAGAAAAGTAATAGATGCTTAAATGCACATTATGCCTCAGAAACGAATAAATGCTTATGTTTTAAGAAAAGGAAACATCAGTTTATTGACTTGTCTTCCAAAGAAAGTAGTATTAGTTTGATATTTGTATTCTTTAGCATTCCGTCGGTTACTTCGGATGATTTAAACTAGTTTCACATTATGAATGCATATAAGCACGAATAAACTTGATGAAATATAAAAATGCTGAACGGTGTTGAACAGATAACATTTAGTTATAAAAACGAAATATAAACTAAGCAAAACGAGCATAAAAACGTTTGCCAAGCATTATAATATACAATTTACAATATTGTAATATTTGTTCGTTTGTGATGTGTGTGTGTATGCGTGTGTGTGCGTGTTTTGGTGTGTGTGTGCGGGTGCGTGTGTGTGTAAGTTACATTTCAACAACATCAACAAAAAATTAAAGGACGCGCAACAATGCAATTACTTTGTCATTTTGTCGATTTACGTACTAGTTTTCTTTTATAGTTTTCGAAAAGTACTTCTCTGCCTGTCTTCTTTATTCTTAAAAATATCCAAGAATTTGTCACTTCTTGAACTTCCTTCCATTCATTTACTATACGTTTTCTTAAACAAGTGTGTGTAAACACAGTTAAGCTCCATTTGCATTTTCGCAAGTTTTATCACTATTTAAATGTCAAATCTATTGATGAATTCCAGGAATTCTTTTAATTAATGAACTTTTAAAAAATGTTATTTTTAATTATCAGGTCTGGAAATTCTTTGCTCTTCCATGTTTTCATTTACTATCGAATAATTCTTATATATAAACTAACTGTTACCAATTTTTATCAATCTCTATCGTTTTGTGTGGTTAACACCTCTATTACGAGGAATTGGCTGATTATTTTATGTCTCCCTTTTTCCTTGCAATATGTTCAAATAATTATTTGGTCATTAATTAATAAATTCGGGCCTGAACTTCTTGGAATAATTCCTGTCTGCGTCTTATTATTGTCTCTCATATGAGCTAAGCAGTGACGTTTTGACTTGTAATTAATAAAATGAAAAGAAAACAAAACTAGAATTGCTAGACGATAAAGAATGCTTTTCGTGTTTCGGTGTTCTCGATATTTTGGTTCCTTGTTATTTTTGTCGATTTCTTTTCGAGACGCTTAACTACATTTTCCGTTTCCACGTGTTGATATAGTATAAGAAAATGGTTGGCAAATATCGGCACGGTAAGGGCGAGTAATAGAACACCAACAACTGCGCAAATACACGCCAATAACCTGCCAATCTTCGTTCTCGGCTCGATATCACCGTATCCAACGGTTGTCATTGTAATGATAGCCCAGTACCAGGCATCTGGTATACTTTCAATTGTAGTTCTCTCTTCAACAATGTAAAAGCAACTCGCAAAGGTACACATTCCGGCAATGAGGAACAATATCAGTATGGTAAGGTCTTTGACATTTTTGCGTGCAGAATAGGCAAGAACTTTTCCTGCTCGAATATTTGCAACGATTCTGAACAGACGAAGGGATCTCAACATCTGAATATAAGCTAAACTGTCTATCCAGGAGTTACCGTAGCGTAAGTGAGGATATCTGTAGTAAAGGATTAAGTGAAGATATGCACCAATCAACGCTGTTCCGTCTGCGAAGTTGATTATCGACATAAAGTAAAACATTATACGTGGACACGAGTACAAGCGTAAAATGGTGTCGACCGTAAAGAAAACGTTTGAAACAGACTCCATTATGATAAGGATAAATAGTTTAGCTTTCATATCTGGGACTTTGACGTTTTTTAATTCCATGAACATTTGTGGAATAGGTACGTCTAAGAATAACGACGGCATCGGAAGAAATTCAAATGTAAATGTTCCGTTTAAGTCATCGAATATTTCTGATCCAGAAATGACTGTTTCATTTTCATCAACAGTTTCATAAAATGTAGGTGGTCTGATAGATGACTGCTCGTCTACAAACGTAGGCGTTTGCTCTACATAGAAGGTTTGATGCATAATCTTAAACACATATACCTTGAAATCACTTTCATCCGTTTCGTTATCAGCTTGAAGGGAAAAACTTTCTGGAACAGTTTCATTTGACATTTCATTTACCGAGTTGCTTGGTAGAAACTCGGTGTCACACATCTCCTCAAGATATGGCTTCATCATCTCATAGCCTTCCATATTAGATGATTTCATATACTCCAGACGCTCACAATTGGTCATTGCTCGTTGAAATCCCGGATCTGTGCTGTATGCCAGAGTGAAGATTGAAAGCAATATCATCGATAGTGTCAAACCGAAGTATATCTGCAGAGACAAAATGTATCTTTCGTTTACATTATACACATTTATGTTTTAGATATGCATTCAAAGTCAGCTCTTAGAAAGTAAATCGTACATTTTGAAAAATGGTCAAATGCGAGTAAAATTGTGGAAGACGTTATATCCATGTTTACTGGTACTATTGTTTAACGTTGAACTAATAGCATTGAGTAAATTCATGATTCGAAAATAATTGAAGTCAACAATCTAGCAAGTTAATATATAGTAAATGTTTTACGGCTGTTTACATGTGCCTGTATTATTATTAAAAGGTGCGGCTGAAAGTTAACCATAAATCAGTAAACCATAAATCATAATCTCAGTACCACTTTATCTTAGAATCTAATTAAAGATGGTTAATTATTTGCCGACCGTACAAAAATGACATTATCTGTTATTTTGTCATGAAAATTTCTAATTGAAATGAAAAAAAAAACTTGGTATTAAGTGCAACACACACGTTTTAATGTTTTTTCTGTTCAATTTCCATCTCTTTCATCAGTTGAAAACTTCATGCCTTTCATATGCCCGACTTTTCCTGTATGGATAAGCCTGCCTTCCTGAATGGCGTGACGTGACCATTATATCCATAATGCACAATAAACAAATAAAATAATAGGAATGCCCAATTATTTTTTTATAGTCTATTAACTGTCGGCAATGATGTTTATAAATGTCGCATATATCTGGATAAAGATTACACCTGCCTGTGTAAATAAAGTCACCGACCAAGTTAGTGAGACACTTAAAAGAAGAAGAAAAATTCAAACATCTACTGTCCTCCTACATCGCTCATTTTGAGGTGTTTAAATCGTCTTTTGTTCTTATGAAGCGTCTAACTATTTTCTATACATGGTAAAAATACGAATTATTTAATAATAATTAAACAGTTCAAAAAGAGCGACGTAGGAGGAATTTTCAATTTAGACATCAAAATAAGACAAGGACGAAATCAATAAAAAAAATATATCCACGTACCTTTCCAGCCAGGGAAGGTTTTGTGTAATCGACAATCTCCCACAGTTTTGCGCGTATGTTTTTCATGCAGTTGTAGGAGTCGGGTGGAGACTCACTCCAACCCCTATCTTCAGAGTTTTGTTTAAACTGTCTTAGTGTATCCTGCTCGTCAATAAAGCTCTGTAATCTGGAAAACATAAATGGTAAAGGATATTGAATGAGTGTAGGTTCAAAACTGAATTGATTGAACGAGCTAAATAAAAATTATGATATTCGAGCATGTGGTTAGTTGAATTAATGTAGTAATGAACCCACACAATTTATCACTTATCCAAAACAAAATAACCTTTTTAGAGTAGAAAAGAATGACTTTTCATTGACGCGCCTTTAGTGTTACGCTAATATTTAGCGCGTCTTTATGCTTTGTTTGTGCAAATGTCGTCACGTGAAAACGGCCATGCAATACCATTTTCACGGAGTCGCAAAAGCGGCATAGTTATGTGATAAACAAAAATATACAGGATACTGTGACAGATAAGAGCAAATACAAACGTTTTTGCAAAGCTTGTCATGTTACGCGTTCAAGACAAAATTATGCATAATTTGACTAAGGATGGATGACTTCTGACAAAGGATCTTTATCAATACGAAACTTTATTGAGTCATTCGAATGTTATGTATCTTGCTTTTTTTAATTTTGCAATTTCATAACGAATTCGTTCCAGCTTTAATTATCAGCGAAGGTTGGAGTATATTTGACACGCAGGTGCAGTAAGAAAATTAATTTCAATTCCTGGAAGCTTTGAGAGTTTCTGTTTCATCTTTTAAAATATCTAATTATATTGATGCGTTGTATAACGAAATTACAAAATACGAAATATCAAATAAACCGCGGCGCATGACCGTCATAAAGCCGTTTAAAAAACGAGAATACACTAGAATTATAACATTGCAACATGACAGCCTTTGAGTAAAGAAGCTCTAAATATTAGCGCGTTTCTTTTTAACTGCTCTATTTTGAAGAAAGTGATAAAAAAATCGTGTAATATCATTACTATTTTTTGTTGAACAATAAAATAATATGCTCGCCAAAGTGTTTCAAATATAATTCCATTCAACTCGCTCAATAAATTTAGTATAAAGCCTAATGTAAACTGTTTCAGTAACCTCTATATCAAAAATTATAAGCCTTTTTCATTAATTTTTTCTTTAAAAGTGATTTCTGTATCGTCAATTAATGTATTATATATTAGAAAACAGAAAATAGAAACAATATTGTATCATAAGAATACAAATAAAATTACCAGGGAATAGTATAGTCAAGAACATTTTTTTAATAAATACAGAAAGGTCTTACATAGTTTCGCTGACTTAAAGGCACATTATGCCTCAGAAATGAATATTTTTTTTTATTCTTTAGAAAAGGCAAACATGACATTTATAACGTTTAAAATATGGTTTATCAGCATGTAAGGTGCTTTTCATATGCAAAAAGTTTGAAGAATTGCGATATACTAAATCACCGTAACTGTATGTCATGTGGTCGATATTCGTGTTTTTGAATATCGTTTTCATGTATCATTTTGTCCTTGTATTTGTATATATATCTCTTGTATTTGTCTGTTTACAGTCCGATATACACTCCATTATCCCATATCATTCCTTTATCATTCCATTTCATCATCTCATTATAACAACTAATTTCTCATATTTCCTTCTGACATAATTTGCATGCCGGGCCTCAGTTTTTACGAACTTCCCGGAAAATCCATCTCACGCATGCGCACTTTGATATAAATATTTCTATTGGTTTGCGCCAGAAATTGTTGTCTTGTTTATTTATTTATTTATCAAGGCGTATGTTTATGTCCTTACAGGTAATTGTTGTTATTCATTATGTTTCATTATCATGCATATTTCCATTGGTCGTTTATGTATTTCGGATCTGTATTTATGCATTTTGATAAAAATATTTCTCTTGGTTTGCGCCAGAAATTGTTTATCTTGTTTATTTATTTATCAAGGCGTATGTTTTATGTCCTTACAGGCATAAACAGACCATTCCTACATTTGAAAAGGACCATACGACATTGGTGGCCAGTGTGGGGGGAAAATCCAAACTTGCCGATAGATGGGAGAAAGATGTATACACCATTCTCAGCCAGCCCACCTCTGGAATTCCCATCTATGAGGTGAAGAAGGAAAACAGCAAGGACAGGTCCAGGGTTTTGCACAGGAACCTTTTACTTCCCTTTATGGGGATGCCTTTGTGCAAAACAACTGAGTCCTTATACAAGCCAGCTTCCTCTGACTTACATTCGGATCAGAACTCTTTCTCCAATCCCTCCTCTGATATTTCCATTACAGCTCCGTTAGATTCAAATCCCTCACTTACATCAAGTCCATCAAATGTTTCACAAAGCAATTCTTCCACAATACATGATTCTAACAATTGTATGTCAACTTCTTTTACAGGAACATCAAACAGCAAACAAGATGCCACGTCAACAACTCAAACTTCTTATTCTGTTCCAAATAAAACATCTCATTCTATTACAGGTTCAAAATATGTCATTCCTGCACTGAGAAATCCATCTAAGGACAACAACAACAATTTACAGAGGCAGAAACGTACAAGAAAGAAACCCGGATGGATGCTTAATGATAACTGGAAATTAGATTAATGCTTTTTCTTTTGATTTATAGTCTAGGTGTGTTTCAACTTTGAAGTTAGGCGTTGTTCAGTACCTGATGTGTTTCGTTTTATGTTTTATACCATGTACCATATATTTTACCTTGATAATTTATAAATGTACTTTACAGTACTTTAAAAATAAAGGATTTATTGTTGAGAGTGCACCTCTTCAATGAATTCACAGTTCTACTGATAAATTAAAATTTTGTTTCCGCGTGACATATATTTTTCGCGATTCGCGGCATACGGTATTTTTGTGGAACATGCTTGAGTTTAAGGTATTTTGCCCGGGTATTATATATTTACTCACAGGTTGTAATTGCCTTCAGTATTTAGATTTAGTTATGTAGTACCTAGTAGTTTAGTTACTTTATGGTCTAAGCTTACTTCTTGCAATGTCTGATTCAAGCTCTTCCTCTTTAATATTTTATGAATGTCGGGGCGACATTCCCCAAAGTGGGGAAGTATGTCATGTGGTCAAATTTTCCCGTTTTTTTTGTTTTTATCGTTTTCATGTTTTTCATTTTTTTTCCTTGTTTTTTGAAATAATATTTTTTTGTATTTTTTGGGTTTACATTCCCGATTAAACTCCTTTAAATCCATTTCATTCCTATATCTTTCCCCTTTTTAAATTAAAACCCTTTTTATAACAACAAATTTTTTCTCATTTTTTTCCTTCTGACAAAAATTTTGCATCCCGGGGCCTCATTTTTTTCGAATTTTCCCGGGAAAAACCCATCTCACGCATGCCCCACTTTGATAAAATATTTTTTGGGGGTTTTCCCGCCAGAAATTGTGTTTGTTTATTTTTTTAAATTTTTTAAAAGGCGTATTTTTTATGCCCCTTAAAAGGAATTTTTTTTTCCCTTATGTTTTCATTATCATCATTTTTTCCCTTTTGGTCGTTTATGTATTTCGGATCTGTATTTATGCATTTTGATAAAAATATTTCTCTTGGTTTGCGCCAGAAATTGTTTATCTTGTTTATTTATTTATCAAGGCGTATGTTTTATGTCCTTACAGGCATAAACAGACCATTCCTACATTTGAAAAGGACCATACGACATGTACTTTTCTTCAAAAAGGCCGAATGGGGAAATACGGATGAGATAACTGTTCAGTAAGTAACCTTTTATAAACTATAACAGGACATCAAAGATAAAGAGCTTTTTAGAAATATAAATTGGGCATAATGGGCCTTTAAAGAATGTCGGTGAATTTATATTTATTTTAGTTTAACTTTTTGCCCTAGTGTTAAAAATATATAAAAAGAATAACGCATTTATGTGATTATACACAAAACATATCAGAGCCGTTACCATAACAACCATCATAGGAAAATATCATTTTACAAAGACACAAAGACATTTGTTTTAGACCATTAAATTAAACAATATGATACGAAAACATTTTTATTTCTTCGTGTTATTTTTCACAGACTATATAATACAGAAACGGTTTCTTAATTAATCTCCTGATACACTTTAAAATGATAACAGTAATCAACAAGGCAAGGCGACATTCACAGAATGTGGCCCCCGACAAAACCGAGCCGCACAGGATCACTGGCGTTAAGGTGCCTAGCAGGGCACGCTGAAATAAAATTGGGCTTGGCCTAAAATAAAATTATATCATAGATGTTTCAAAACAGCCCAAAAAACATTAAAAAACATCAATGTTTAGTAGTGGTGCTGTAGTATAAACAGACTCACTTTGTATTCATTTTAATGTTCTTTATTCAACAGCAATACTTATATTGGGTTAAAATCACTTTAATTTAAGAAAGCCACACACTGCAATGAATTGAAATCACTGATAATGTTTAGGTAAATATTTATTAATTCGACGTCAACGACTGAATATATTGTATAACATTTATTATATAGACCAAAGAAATTGAAATGTAAGAGTACCAAACAAATTGAAATAAGGAAAAATGTTTTGTCATCACATTGTACATGTATTTATTAGACGTTTTTTAAATACAAAGAAAACAAACAAAAAAACAATAAAAACATGGCAAAATACGTTTACATACCTTAAAATTTTGCAAAACTAATGGACACTCTCTTAAGTCCAATTACAGACATTCAAGACATTAGACAAAGACACCCTTGAAAGAGCCGGGTATTCTGATGTGAGTTGCACCGAACATTGCAGTTATTTATATGCCCCTACGTCCTACAATGTCATATCAACTCACCAACATAGCCTGGTAATTTATTTACATAAAATAACATAAGGTCTTTGATAGGTTTTAAACCATCTAAAGACAATAAATCAATGTTTTTTATCACCTAGCTCATTCTACATGACATATCAACTCACCTGTTGTAACAGCAATCTGAAACTGCATCCGGCGTTATTTCCCAGTACTCCAACTCCTTTATGAACGCTCCCGGACATGACGTCATTGGAATATGCAGTTCCCCAGTTTGATAAAACCTTAGAACGGCGGCAAAACTTTCAGGCGATCTATTTATAAATATACACTCAGACTTTGAAACGGAGGAGCCCGTTTTGTACATTCTTTTCAGTCGAGATGCCGGTCCATTTTCAATTATTTCTCTTGGAATTGAGTACAGTTGTCCATAAACATCAATTTTAATCCTGTCCTCCATTATTAGAATATAAGTTTCTTTCTGTCACCTTTTCTGTAAAATAAGTCAATATTACAGAAAAAAGACGACACGTCTTGGATATTCCCGTGACTTGCAGAGATCTTATGCAAATCCAATAACATAGCTCTGCTGAGAAATCTGCCGCATTCACACTAAGATGAATAATTTCATAATTTGTGTTGAAAACATTTAATAATAGTTAACACGAATAAATCAGAAAAAAAGAAATAAAAAATCCCTAAATAAAGTCCAAAACGGCAAAGGCACTTCACGTGTTTCAAGTATGTGCTTTCAACACGAAACCTCTACTGTACCGATGATGAACAGGAAAACGCATCTTTTAAAATGCTTGACATCTTTTAAAAAAATGTCGATTTTTCTCTTCATTTCCTCATCTTTCTAAAATTTCTAAAAGACCAAAAAAAAAACAAAAAAAAACCAAAAACACCAAAAAACAACGATAACAAAAATTGCATAGTAAACAATTAATAATAATTAATAGCGGAGATTTAACATGATCATGTTTTTAGTTGTCTAACATTTTTTATTATAAGTCGAAGAACATTAATAGTCGTTTTATTACAAATATTTATTATACAAACATGATTTTTATTTCAATAATTTAGTAAACGCAAATAGAACAATACCGGTATGCAGTATTGTATTTGACATCGTAGTGCAGTAAAATGTAAACTGCAGTAACGGGTCAACGCCTATACAATTAAAAAATAGGAGACTACCTATCGCTTCTCTAAAATGACGATTTTCTCTTTCTGTACATAGTGTATCAAAGTAGATTGATGCAATTCCATCATATTTTGTAAAACCTTTATTCACTTATGCTTTAACAGTGTGATATTGAAGTCACTTTCTTTACTCTCGATTGGTTTTGAAGAAACTTAACGCATTTAATTGCTGAACAATTCATTTTTACCTATCATTGTGATTAAAATAAAAGTTCCTTTATAAATGTATATTTGAACGTAATTGTTTTATAGTAAACTATTGCTGCTACGTTTTGTATGCGACATTCAGATTATTTTTCTTCATTTCAATGAAGTGGCTTACATTCCAACACTTTTAAGCATAATTGAAAATTGAGTACTGCTAGAGCCGGTGCTAGGTATGTTGTACTTTTTCATTATTCCACATGTACAGACGCAATCAAAGCGAGTCTGCAATTTTCATGTAATTTTGTTGTGATTAATGTTTCGATCACACTTTCTCCAGATTTTTAGTATGATTTTTAGTATCGAGCGAGTATATATTAAAGTTGGCTGCATGTACATTGACACAAACAATAACAGCATTGACCTTACATCTTTCACTAAGGTAAAATATTTGAAATGGTTCACGTTATCAAGTGATGGGGCTTTACAATGTTGCTCTTATTTGGAAAAAGAAAGTGTAATGAATTATATTTTACTTATGAAAATTGGCATCGTGTGCTTAATGTAACCGTAAAGTAAGGCAAACACAGACCAAAGATTACGGTTAAGATAGCAATACATTAAGTAACAAGCACTTATCATAGTATTGCAAGCAATCCATAAGACCCCTACCGGTTAGAACCCCAGCAACATTCTGAAGGGCCATTGGCTATTCACTCATGTTTCTATTTTAAGTAAATTTGTTGAAAAATTTCTTTAAAAGTGATCTCAGGAAACAGTTTTTATGTACAGACAGACAGACGGACTGAAGGACACTCTAAAGTTATTTTTAAACATCCCTGTTATCAAAATATAACATTGAAATAAAGATCCAAGATGTCATACATGATGTGAGTGTAACAAAGAACAATTAGTAATGAAGGTATGAATAATGAATGTTTTTTTTTTAATTTGAAGTAAATGGAAGTTAAAAGAACAAATAAGAAAAATTAAAAGTTTAAGGAGGAGATAATTCTGGAAATATGGATGCTAGATTCATAAACCTTGTTATATTATTATGATGTGGAAGTTTGAAGAAAATCCTATCATGATTGAAGAAGTTGGAGTAAAAATTACCAATTTCTCGAGAAAAAGTCTAAGTTCAAAAGGGGCATAATTCTGGAAATAGTCTTGCTAGAGTATTGAACTTTCTCACACATGTTGAGTGATAATAAAAAACATATATATGAAGTTTGAAGTAGATACATTCAGAAAAAAGAATTTATTAAAAAAAACAATATTTTTTTCATGAAAATTTTAAGTTCAAGGGTATTTTGTGCTAGAGTTGTAAACCTTGTCATATATGATGTGGTTGATGACTAGCAACTTATATTTAAAGTTTGAAGAAAATACCTTAAGAAATATATAAATTATAGTGAAAAAACTTAAAAACTAGAATCAGAAATCTTGAAATTCTTTCTATTTGTTGTCATAGCAACCAGAATTTTCAACATAAGCAGATAAGAAAAAAATATGCATAATTTCCAGACTGCCATCTACCCATATATCAAGTTTCATAAAAATATTTTCAGTACTTTGTGCGTTATCACTGGATCCAGGTTATGTGTAAAATTTGCCATATTTTCAGTCTATTTGTTGCCATAGCAACTAGAATTTTCAACATAGGAAGAAAAGAAAAGACGTGCATAATCTCCATACTGCCATCTATCCATATATCAAGTTTCATAAAAATATTTTCAGTACTTTTTGCATTATCGCGGGATCAAGATATGTGGACGGACGGACTGACGGACGGACAGACGGACGGACTGACGGCCGGCCGGACAGACGGACAGACGGACGGAGGGTAAACCTAAAGTCCCCTCCTGTAAACCGGTAGGGGACTAATAACCATAAAATAAACCTACTCACTTGCAACTCCCGACTGACCTGTTTTATTTCTGGCGTCAAAAACATGACAATTAGATAATATCTTATCTAGAGCTGGCCGTGGTAATGAAACTGATGCTTTGATGCGCTCTAAAATCAAACAATCAACTTTCAATATAAATCAATTTCCATGATGATAATTTAACATTTGAAAGCAATATCCAATCAATGAAAGTCCCTATGGATTACTTTTTAATCAGAATTTCATATAAAAACGGTACCCGGTGAGTCTGAAATCGTAATTTGTGTAGAATTGTTTTGCAATAACTCAAAAAAGCATTTTCAATATCAGACATGCGATGGATATTTTGACGTGAAAAGCGTTTTATTTGGATATTTTTATACAAGGAAAATTTTTTTTTGAAATTTCTTTTCGCGAGTATTAACGGGCCATTTTGATACCACAGACGAAAATGGATTCTAAAAGTGCAAATATTGATATAGATATCTGTGGAAACACATATATAGTTCCGAGAAGAATGTTTGAATGCGGACCTTCATCTCGTTTGTCAAGAATGTATAAAGAAAAAATTATAAATCCAAACATTAAACGCATTTTCATTAACCGACCAATTGAAGGTTTTCTAGCTATTTTGTCTTATTATCAGACAGGCGAGTTACATATGCCGATGACGTCATGTCCGGTGGCGTTCCTTAATGAACTCGAGTATTGGGAGATTTCGCCGGATATTCTATCAGAGTGCTGTTATAACAGGTAAAAATGTTAACCGTCGTTTATCTTACTTTGCTTTAAATCGTCTTTTCAAACTTTTCTTAAATGAAATACACAATGAACATGCTATTGTCAATTGTTCCAAAGCAACAGAAAAAAATGCTTTTCTTTTTTCTGTTACAATGGTTTTATTTTCCAATCATGTTAGACTAGGAGCACTATCCTGGCTGACAGTGTTGCCATATTTTTCTAGTCCTTCTATACCATTTAAATCCAGAATATGTTAAAGTGTAGAGGCCCGAGTACCTTTATAGCCGGTGTAATGGACATTCCTTTCCAGAACTATTTAAATAGAAGTTTCATATATAATCTCAATAACTAGTTTACTATGAGAAAATAATCTAAGACTACAAGATTAGAGTATTGAAAATTATTTAAGTTTATAAAACTATGTATTTGTTGTATCATTATTGTACAATAATTGCAAATATTTTGATAACGATGAATACCGGATACCTATATTTAAAGAAATTTGATATATATATTTATAAATGACTGAAAGCTAGTGAGGCGTTCGTTAAATCATCACAAAACCTAATATTATAGCGGCGGATTATTCTGTTCCGGAACATTTTATTCTGTGTACGTGCAGTGTTCATTGTACAATAAATTATGAAATCATTTTATGTTTACAAATCTTTCAACAAACCACTTAAGGTTATGAAAGTAGCATGATATCACTGTTATTTTATGAAATATAGCTTAATACTTGAATGTCAAAAATTAAGTTAATCTAATGTTCCATGATTATTTTCCCAACTTTTCTAATAAATAAATATGAATATTATCTTATCAATAAATTGATAATAATCATGATTATTAATGATTAATAATTGATCAGACCAGGGTATCAACTTAAGTAGATGTGACATTAAAAAGAATTGGTCGATAATGGAAGGCCTGTAATACAATACAAATTATGTTGATAGTGTTTAGTATCAGACAAAACACCACGCCATGAAATAGTTATATATGAATGTTGGTGGAGATACAAGATCAGATATTGCATATACTCATTAGCAGATGATAACTTCTTCTAGAACAGAATGTTAACAATATAGTATTATTCGTCATATTAGGATTTTCATACTGAATCATTTAGAACGTTATCAACAATTCTTTCTAAACATCAATTTATGAAAATATCAATATGATGCAGTTCTACTGTAAACATCAATTTTTGAAATTCTTATTAAAATGTAATTATAAAGTTTGATTACAGTCATTAATTTTTATCAATAGGGTGCAGAGCTATCTGAGTGATTTGGAAACATTACGCACATTTAAAGAACAGCAAACAAAGTCAGCAACATTGAATCAACAATACAACTGCTTAAATGGATGCCGAGCAAAAATATCATCCATTGTTGAGTACTCAAAGCCTTCACTTATCGGAAAAGTGAGTAAAAACTTAAAGTAAATAATTATTATAGTTTCTTGTTAGCATAATTACCTGTAGGACAGCTGCCTAAATAGCAGCTACTACTAGCAATTCACAACCAACTAACGACGTTGAAAACTACTTGAAGATATGGCAAGTAAAGGTGGATTGTTCCTCAATGGGCACATTTTCCGTAAGTATTTCAAATATTGGTAAAACAAAGAATTGTAGCATTTTGATATTCTAATGAACTATTGTTTGGAACAGGAAATATTGATAAAAACCTGATTTAATATGAACATATTTTATCATGATCATGATGATCAATATTTTGTTCTAGAATACCTTATTATCTTCAAACAAAATATGTAATATTTGTAATATATGTAATATTGGATCTTATGTAACTCACACTTGCAAAACACACTTTCGTGGTTTGTTGTTATGTATAATACTAAATACTATTGACTTGATTATTTATTGTATGACAGACATCCACTATAAACCAATTATCTTTACACCAGACGCACCAAGCAGAGCAAAGATTCATTCGTTTCGCAAATAATTAAATGAGAAAATTCAGCGTTTATCCTGAAGTGTTTCTTCAAATTTTCCCTTCATAGTGTTGTTTTGAATTTCGTTTATTTATTCCAATAGGTCTATCTAGGCATTTTCTTTGATAATTTGTCCATTATCCTTTAATGCTTGTATTATTTTATTTGCATTATACTCTCTTTAAAAATAATAGATGATCAGGTAAAAATTTGCTGATATATGACTTAAAAAATAAAAAGTGCCAAAATTTATTCTTTTTATTATTATTATTTGTTTCGACATGTTTGAAGACAAAACACATTGATAAATAAGTGACTGACTGACTGACCGGTTGGCTTGACGGCTAGATGGCTGACTTGACGCTTGGTCAGGCACACACGTACCCCTTCCAGTCACTTACTCACACACTTATTTCTTTATTTACAGGTTTACCTCGCAGTGACATTTCTGATGGTGATTATTTCTATACTTGTGATGGCATACAGTACAGATCCAAACTTCCAAAGATTAATGACCAATTGCGAACGGCTAGACTACATGCATGCTTCTGGGCTTGCCGATTATGATACAGTCAAACCATACTTAAAACAAATATGTTCCGAAGTCGATATTCCAAATGTGTTTACTAACATATCTGAAAATACAACGGTAAGACTAGAGCGGCATATCAATAAAACTGAGAATAATTTTCTTTTGTTTCTAATCCATGAAGAACATATTAAAAATAAAACATTTCCTAACAACAGCTCTGCTAATGACAACATATTTGGGTTGAACAACTTTACAGAGCAAGTTTTACCCAATGAAAGTTTTATAAACGATTTGAAACATAAAAGTGAAAACAATAGTGAAATAGTTGGAGGGTTGCAGTCTTTCTTTTACATAAAGGAAGCATTCCAAACGACAAAAGAAATTAAAGTTCCAAATTTCAAGGCCAGGATATTTGTTCTTGTTTTATTAGATGGCATCACAACCTTATTTTTCACGATGGACATCATGATAAGGTTGTTAACTTGCCAGTCGGTACGACGCTATTTTAGCTCTGTTATAAATTGTGCAGATATTATCTCACTATTAGGAATATACCTTTATTTAATTTTATATTCAACATGTACCCACTTGAGATACGGAAGCTGGATCGACAGACTGGCATACATGCAAGTGTTACGAGTATTGCGTTTCTTTCGTATTATAGTCAATGTGCGTGCTGGGAAAGTGATGTGGTACTCGGTTCGAAAAAATATAAAAGATCTTTCTATTTTGGTTTTATTCTTGATTACTGCTATGACAACATTTGCAAGCTGTTTTTATATCGCGGAAAGTGGGAAACCCTTTAACAGCATACCAGATGCGTGGTACTGGGCAATCATAACTTTGACAACCGTTGGTTACGGTGATATTCATCCGCAATCCAAGACTGGTAGGCTTGTTGCCTGCGTTTGTGCTGTGTCTGGTATTTTACTTCTTGCTCTGACAGTGCCAGTTTTTGCCAACAATTTCCTTCTCTTGTATCAACACACAGAAACGGAGAACATTGTCACGAAATTTCGAAAACGAAGCAAGAGAAGCAAGAGGAGAAAAATGCATAGCGGTATAGGTGATGAATAGTTTCAGTCCTAATTCATTAAACCTGCAAAATAACTTGTCTGTTTGTTATCTAAGACATTTCATTGTTGTTCTTTGAAAAACAAAGTGGCAACTTACATGATGTAATTATGATTACGTTATCAATCTAAAAGTTTTTGCATTACTTATTAAAAGTTGTAACAACAATAGAATTAAAGCTGAATGGATAATATATTTAAAAGAGGACTGTCATTATGTTGATCATGCCATCAGTTGATACGTATTAAAAGATGTTCAGGACAAATAATCAAAATATCTTAAATATAAAAAGGTTGTCTTTTTTATAAACTGAATGTATTATGTAAATTACAATGGATATCTATAGAATTCTACTTTTGTAACGTGAGCTATTCATTGTTCATGCGAGATAAAATAATAAAATTCGAATGAATTATATCCATATAAAGCATTTTGCTATCCACCTTTTCGTTCACTATGTGCCTTTGGGTGGGTATAATTTCACATAAAGTTGTCGTCATTTATAATGGCTCCAAACAAGTTATTTTCAGGTTTTTACATATAGTAATTTATAAAAGGTGATTTTCTAGAAACTTTCCGTTCAAAATATTCAAGTATTATTATTTTATAACATACATTCCATTTGATATAAATTATTGCATAACTAAACTGAATCATTGCCTTTAGAACAAAAATAATTAAATTGGATTGATTAGTGCAAAACAAATAATGACTTCACTATGACCATGGGTATCATTTTAAATTTACAGGAATCAATATCAAAAGTACTGTGTCTCGTGTTTGTATAACATTTCTGAAAAACATAACACTTGTTAAGGAATGCCACTTTTTAAGGAATGCCATTTCATTCCATAACCAATACATTACTTTTATTTCTTTTTGCATTAATAAATATAATTCAAGGACTGTCTTTGCAATTTTGATGTAATTTTTCGAGGAATCACCCATGTTCCTAACTTTAAAACTTCAGAAGAGCAGGTGGGAAGTTCTCAGTAGCAGCTGTTAAATGTTGCCTCATACTTCATTTTAGTGTTGTTGTATTTTTTCTGGTCCTTCGGTAACATTGATATGAAGATTTAATACCGCTTAAACAGGTGCTAGGAGACGCGATAGATCTTGCACTTTATCTCTTAAGACAGACACAATCAAATCGAGTCTGCAATTTTCATACTATATTTAAGTTTTCGGTTCTTCCCAGGGGTCGCCCCTTTTCCAGAATTTCAAAGGAAAACATGTATTATACAAACCAAGCCTTCATGAAAATTTATTGACAAAAACAATCAATGCAAATCTGCGGTTTAATATTTTAATATTTGTTCATTTAGTTCTTGCAAAGCATTTTCGATTTCCAATTATTTTAATGACATAACCTGTTTATCTGATAGCTGCAAAAATTCACCATTATTCATCTAAGTATGTTGAATTCTACATAAGCCGGTGCAAGGGCGTTTGATAGTGACTTGCACTTTCAAGTGCCGTTCTTGAACGAACAACATTTTCAATTTTTCCGTTTTGGAAGTTCGTAAGGGATTTCATTTTTTCTATATTCGGTTATATGATGATCAATGGTGACCATGGGATTCATTATGGAAAAAATGAAAGCATCTTTTAAGTACCAGACAGCAGAGGGTTATGCTTTTATATTTATTTTTATTATTTTCATGTCATGAAATCGGTTAATATAGTTTGTATGTTTTGGGTTTTACGTCACATCGACACAGTATAGGTCATATCGCGACGTTCCAGCTTTACTGGTGGAGGAAGACCTCAGGTGCCCTACCGTGCATTTGTTCAGGCACGAACGGATACCTTAGTAGAACCACCGACGTTCCGTAAGCTAGCTGGATAGCTTCCTCTAATGAAAGAATCCAAAGTCCCTGTCGGGATTTGAACCCACAGAGGTGAGGGGCAAGTGGTTTGAAGTCAACGACCTTAACCACTCGGCCACGGACGCCCCAAAATCGGTTAATAAAGCAGTCTGTGATTATAAAGTAGTAAGTTTTCTTTTTCGTATTTGAATTTTTTCCCCATTTTACACATTATTCAAGACCGTTTAATGTACTTCTTTCAGAAAAAAAAGTTTTTTTTATTTAGAAGAAGAATGATTATTTATAATACATGTGCAAACAGTGAATTTATCAACTATATATAGCTATTTTTGAGTAATTGAAATAAAAAGCAACTGCATTCTGCAGACAGGTCATATACTCCTAAATTATATCTTGGGGATGTGAACAGTAGCTTGCACTTTCTGGTACCAGCATTAAGTAAGACGAAGCCTGCAATATTTTCAATATTGCCGTTTTGGACGTTCTTTAAGGATTCTGTTGTTGTTTTTTTGTTGTTGTTGTTGATCAAGAAATATTTTTCGTTCATCACACAAAAAGAGGTCAGATATTTTCAAGTTATTTATTCCAAAATGTAAAGGTTCCCCGAGTATAAGGAGTGTAAGTATTTATTTACATTACTGCAAATAAAAAAAATGATGTGACATTTATTGAAAGGAAAAAAATTCCGAGAGGTCGAATTCCATATTAAACCTCTCATTTAGAATTTAATTACTACTCGTGATCACATTAGTTTGATTTATAATGCAAAAACGTAACAGATAGTTCATTGTTGCTATGACAACATAGCAATAAATTTATAATAAGTAATATCTTAACGAGTTTTATGAATGTTATATTTACTAAATACTCGTTTATAGAATATTAATGTGTTCATTGTACAACTTTAATGTTCATTAAAAAAGAGGAAAAAGCACAGAATTATACAAAGTCTGTATAGCTTTGTTTCATATATCTTAAGTTTGCTTATGTTATTACAATCGTTTATTTATCCAAATAAGGAGCGTTATAATCTAAACTCGTGACTGTACTTGAAACATCATCTAAATGACCTTAATTTAGATCATAGCAAAATTCAAAAGCATGAATAACTACCCCTAAGCACACCAGTTACCACTGCAACCAGTAAGTTTTGGGATGTAGATAAGCATTGGATAATTTTCTTTCCTGTGTTTGAATTCTGGTTCAATTATTTATATCGGTTCAGTTAAATTTCGTTTCAAAGGAATTCATAATTAAATATGGATATTGAACCCCTTGTGGATATTCTAAACGCCTTAACTTCAGGTGAAAGGCATTCGATTTTCTTTGTGTGAAACAATTCATAATAGAATATATATATTTGAAATCTTATTATTCAAGACACGTTCTGGAAGGAAAATATGCTTTGGTAAATCTATCTAATATGGCAGACTGCCGCAATGTTTTGATCACATATCCATGGCGAATTTTCGCACCGTTTTCGGCACATATTTATGGCAGAATATATCTGTGTTATGATCACATATCCATGGCAATGAATGACGCCCTGTTTTGGTCACATATCTATCGATACATTGATGTACATTTAGGCAATACCTAAAAGCGTAATGTGGTTTACATGTACGGAATTAAATATTTGGTGCCGTTACAAGAATTTACCACAAAGTAATTGATTTTTCTTGCAAATATTCATGCTATTCACAGCGGGTTGGAAGAATTATTTTTGTAGAATTTCTACAAAATAATCGATAAAATCATAACTGGTTATATATAATGAGGTACTATTACATTTTATTATTTTATGTCAGATCTACAGAACTATAATTTGGCAAGTGTGAGAAGGGACAACCGGAACAAACAACATAACAATTCCAATGATATATTGTCAAATAAATAACAGAATAGTACATATATCTTGAGTGGCGGAAATCAAATGCGAAATAAATGAACTTTCATGAATAAGGTTACCAAAAATTATACTCTCACATAAGAGATAGTAGTTGTATATTTTACTTTCAAATTTAATTTTCAAAATAAATGTACAATCCAGCTATAGATACTTTGCAGTTAATAAATAATGGCTTTTTCTTGTGTTAAAACATCTTTGCCACTGAATAATATGTATTCAGCTTGTCTTCTAGCTCGAAAATACAACGCATGTAACGGGTATGTCAAACACTAGATGCAATTTGTGAATGTATCTCATTGACTAGTAAAATTGTAAATTATTTTACAAACCAGAAAGCGCGAGTGAAGATAAGAATTGCTTTGAAGTGGTAAAACTGGTCCTTCGAAATCACAGAAACCAATATTTGTAATGTTAGATCAACCTTCTTCAGGTGCAAGGGGTGCAAGAAAAATTTCATTGTATCTCTTGAGCTGACTGCAATTTTTGCATTTTAATTTCAATTTCTATTGGTCACAGGGGATCTTCCTTTCCATAATATTTATTTTGCAAACATTACAAATAAGGTAGGGTAGACCAAGAACATCAGCTACGATCATTCTGGAAAAACAACTAAGTATAGAAAAAATCTTTGCAATTGAGAAAACAAAATATCAAGGGTATTTATTGTTTAATTTTGTTTGCACAAACATTTTGAATAAAGTAAACAATCTCTGATACCATGCCATAATAATTCATTTAAAAATACAAAGACTCTAACACATTTAAAATGTCTATGTACCCAAACGGGACAATTTTAATAAAGCGCTTCTTAAATTGAAATCAAAGAAATATGCACGGTATTCTGAAATTCAAATCCTGCTGTTTTTTTTTGTTTTAGTTGGGGGGAGGTTGTTTTTTTTATTCAATTAAAATGATTTTTATGGTTTGCATATCATGGAAATTTTAATTGACTTTTACTGTGTGTTAGGCAAGAGAAAAAGAAAATAAGACTGTTTAGAAAAAGAACTTGCAAAAACAGAATACTACTTAGTATTTGGTTTCAGATATAAAAAAATATTGCTTACTACTTGAACGGGCTAGATACACCAAACTGTTCGTAAGTAGTAGAACATTTAAAATTGAGAATATATCTTTTAATCAGACGTTGTGACATCGTAAAAATGAATGCATCTGCTCAAGTCCACTGGTAGAATTGAAACAAAAGAGATATTGTAGGGTAGAAAAAGGTGTCAGATTCATTAAAATTATAATAAGAGCAAACAAAATGCATGCATCATGAAAATTATATACGGAAAGAGGATATTTAGCTATAATAATATTATGATGATTCATAATATTTTAAAGATCAATATTTTCAATATAATTTACTGTATATGATTAACAATATCCAATGGGCTGTTTAAAATCTGTGATAAAATGTCACGTTATGTACAAGTGAAGATTATTAATTATGTAATGACCAATGTTCGTGAACTTTCAATAATAGGCTGTAGAGATATCTACCTTGTTTTATAGCTTTACCATGACCGCTGGATATTTAAGTTAACTATACTCTGGGGATATATAATTTCCAGGCAGAAAATTAATACGAATCTCTGGACTTCACAGATGGGCGTGTTTATGTTTGGGTGCTATCTGAGTGTGACTATAAAAGCTTAGAAATATTGCAAATATATAAATCGCTATAAGATATACATAAAGCTGGATACCAATTACTATTACTGTAAGTATTATTCTAAATGAAATCATAATTCAAGGGAATAGTATACAATTTTGTTTCTCCCAATATCTTAGTTTGATTGTGGTTAAGATTTCTTTCTGATTTCGCATGTTCCATTGTTTTCCTTTGCAATTGTTTTGTTCGTTTTTTTGTTTTGTTTTTATTTATTTATTTATTTTTTATTTTTATTTTTGCTCTTTCTTTTCTTTTCCTTTGTTTACTTTGTTTGGTTTTTTTTTATTTCTTGTTTCTTTGTTTATATTCAAATACAATACAGTAAATTCAGTCTGCTTTTCATGGTAGAACGGTATTTCAAATATTTGTAATTCATCTTATCTCATTCCAGTTAACGAAATCCTATTTTTTCGGAATATTTTATTCATATTTTGTGTTTGACATTCATGTACTAATCATTTGAGCCTTTTTTACGACGTCAAGATTTAGGTTTTAAGTTTTGCATTACTTTGGAAATAACGTTATTTTGATTTTTTTAACCTAGTTTTTTTTTCAAAACTGCCTTAAATAAATGTACAAATACAAAACATTTATTCTTTCAATATAATAATGAGATGTCCAATAATGAGTGGAAGATTAATAATATCACGTGATTCAATTGATCTTAAATTTTTAGTTAATCCCTGTTTATTCTTATAATAAACTCGGAAAGGAAATTGTATGTAGCCGCTAATTGCTCCACTGAGGTTCTTTGACATGATTGGTGTATAATTTGGTGTAGGTCTAGACCAATAATTTGACAGTGCAAAATTTTGGAATATTCGCTCATTTTTACTATCTGTTTCCTATGTTTCCGTTTAAAATGTTCCTGCTGATCTATGAACTAATTTCATATTTTATTATTCGGACTTATGGACATTAGAAGAGATCCATAAACAGCTGTATTATGAAGTGGCAACTCATGTTAGATAATATTTAACTCTAAATATACAATTTAGAACTTTATCATCTTTTAAAAGAAAATTATAAATATAATTTAGTTTTATTTTAATAAGATATTTAAATGAAAATGCTCTGTATTGAAACATGCCTTTTATTTACTACATAAATCTTTGTTGTTTTTTAGGCAAAATATAATTATTCACTATCAATTTTACCTGAAGTTGTTTAAAAACATATTCTATTTTCGGAAATATTAAGTCACCACATTTAGCTACGTCAATTATAACCCCCGATTTTCGCAAGAAGCAGTGCCAATAATATATATTTATCCCGATTTAATTATGTAAACAATGATTTTTACATTTTTGCTGAATTTATTGTACAAATTGCTTATTAACATTATTACCGCTATTATTTAATATGTTTTTATTTTAGCAATTGTTAGGACTATCAAACTTTGACATAGAAATCTTTACAGAGAGAACTGTGAAGCCAATTGGATACTTGTACACATTCATAAATTCTAGAATTTTTTTTTATTTATTTATTTATTTGTTTATTTATTTATTTATTCATTTATTTATTTAAATATTTATTTATTTTGTAGAAGGTAATCTGTAAGCGACCTACATTTCCAAGAAAACAATGCCTACTGCTGTTGTTTTAGAAGTTTGTGGGCAAGTGTTCCCTATTCCTCCCGAAACCATAGAAAATGGTCCTAGTTCACGTCTAACTCGTTTATTCAAGGCCGGTTGGTCACATGAAAAGTCGGAACGTATTACTATCAACCGACCAGCAGAATGTTTTGCCGCTATTTTGGCATTTTATCAAACAGGAGAACTACATATCCCTATGACGTCATGTCCGGGAGCGTTCTTAAATGAAATAGAATATTGGGAGATATCACCGGAAGTTCTTTCGGGGTGTTGCTACTACAGGTAAGATTTTAAATTACATAGAACGAATAATAAAAATATGCTATTCTGAAAATAAGATGTTTTATATCTAAATAATTCAATAAAATATTCAAGTCATCTGGTATGTATCTCTTGAAACTCAACTTTCAATGGTTTTGAAATTCAACATTATACACATGAAACCGTTTTACAATTAAGTAAAAGCATAATTTACTTTTTTATCAAAAAACCAAATGATAACAACTTGAACATTTAGCGAAATATATTACAATTAATGTTATTTAATTTTATTCTATTATAACAAGGTTGCAGAGTTTCCTTGATGAACAGGAAACAGTTCGAACATTTAAAAGCAAACAGAAGCAGACAGTTCACAAGTTTTCAAAGACCAAGTCCCAGAATTGTTTTCAAAAATGTAGAGCAAACATATGGGAAATAATCGACTATACAAAACCATCTATACTTGGAAAGGTTCGTTAAACTTTATGCATGCATTTTGCAAAAATAAAATACGGTTTATCTCCTAGACTTTTTACGGACAAATAGTATTAATTCAAAGGTAACAATAAAATTGAGATTAAGTAAAAGTTGGGTGAATTAAAGTCTTTTTATAATAAAGGTGTACCCAACACTAAGGTCATTAAGCCTAAAAAAATGTTAACATTGTTCATTGATTACGTAATTACCAAGTTGTTTCTGATCTATAGTTTTGTTTCATAGGTCATTTGGTATGTACATTTAAAACTTAATGTTAAGGTTATTATTTTGTTTCAGTATAATAACGTATACATGTATATTAAAACAAGTAATCAATAAATGTCATTGAAATTATGAACTATATTTAGTATCATTGCTGACGTTTTATATACAGATGTGTAAAAAACTCTTAATTACGTTACTACTTCTGGTAACATTAAAGGTCTTGATATACAATGTATAGATATTACACTACGGTCATTTATAAAAGTCCCAAGTCAAACAAATCTATGGTCATCCTTCGTAAACAATAAAAACAAATAAATTACATAACAAAACGTCTTTAAAATGCAAAGACATTTAAATTGGGTCTGTCAATGAGTGATAATGGAAAAGTGCAACATTACTCACGCCCTGTTGAGTCGTTATAAGTCTTCAACACTTAATTTTCTGTAAACAATGATCCCGATCGACCAAAAATATAAAACAACACTAAAGTGAAGTACGGGTTAACTTTTTAGTGCTGCACATGGTACTTGACACCTGCTTATTTAAAGTATTAAAATCTGGAAAATGAGTGGCCCTCTCTTTTAAGAATTAAAATAAATAAATTAATAATAAATCGTTCCCTTCGTGCTTTGTTTATTCACACACTTTGATGGGATTGTATTGATTTATTCGCATTTAGCTTGAAAACAAAGATTCTTAACACAATATTTTGTTTTCAGCTTTACCTTCTCCTATCAATTGCAATGGTACTAACGTCAATATTTACACTTGCATACAGTACTGACCCAATCTTCAGAAGGACAATGACAAACTGCGAGCGCCTAGAGTACATGGTAACGACAGGGGTGGAAGGCTTTGAAATAATCCGTCCATATTTACAAGAACTATGTGGCGAGAGTGATGTGCCTAAATTCACATCTGAGCTCGCAGAAAAGCTTAATCGTACGGACATTTTCCATTTAGTACGTGACACAGATGGAATGCAGGAGGACGAAGATTTCTTGACCTTTGAGTTCATAACAACCCGAGTAGATCAATCTGGACCTGATAGCCGTCCTGGACCTGAGACTGCGAAAACTTTTGACACTGAACTGATTTCAAAACACTTCAACAAATCAAATATTGACTTGAAAGTTAACAACACTGAAATTATTACATTTTTAGGAGACATTGCAAATATGGCAATTGATAATGATACAGATATTTTATCGGACAATTCTAACCTTACTTCATCTACTGGTGATACAATGTTTCCAATACTGTCTTTAGCCACATCACCCATGATACATTTAGATATTGCTCGTGTTACTGTACCGAATTTGCAGACGAAAATATTAACTCTGACGATTTTGGAAATGATAACAACCCTTTTCTTTTCAGTCGAACTATTGCTTAGGTTATCAACATGTCCTAATCTAAAATTCTACTTTCTATCCATAATAAATATTTCTGACGCATTGTCCCTCTTGGGAACCTACCTGTACTTTGCCTTGTACAGCATATATCCCCATCTACGATTCGGGAGTTGGATTGACTATCTTGACTATTGTCAAATGTTGAGGTCATTAAATCCCATTCCATTTGTTTGAGGTCATTATCTGAGAAGAAGAAGAAATCTTGACAAAACCGCAAAGAGATTTTAACAAAAAGAAGAAACAAGCAAAACACAAACTGTTTAAACAATGACAATACTTTGCCACACTGGTAGTTTTGTTGTAATTATGTTGTAAAGTTGTTAAAGATTTAATGCTTCAAAATTAAAAAGGGGGAATAGTCTAAACTCTGTATGTCTGTTAGAATTATTTTAGTCGACATTTCTTCAAATTCAATATTTTGAATAACGAATGGGACACTTAAAATAATCCTTCAATAATATTCTATGTATCCTCCTTCCAAAACAAAATATTTACAGTAAAAAAGTGTAGTTTCCTTGTAACGCGCTTAAAGAGTACCCACTTCCCACTCTTGTATTTTATAACGTATTTTACATGTCTTTATAAGCTATGTAGTAAATAAAAATGATTATATGCTGTAAATTATTATATCACTATTGAGAACCAATTTAAACTTGAACTCATTTGAATATAAGAAAAAATATTTTTAGTTTTCTTGGCAAGAGGCCCCCTATGGTAATAATCGTTTTATTCACCTCGCCCACAATGAAATTTGATTAGTTTGTCAAAATTGTGAATATTATTTTAATTCGGAATCTATTTCAATAACTGTATTTTATTTGTTATTCAAAATTGTAGATTTGCAATCAATTTGAAATAGAAGCTTCTTTAATTTATAATCCATAAAATCAATTCAATATTATTAAATGGTGTTCGTAAGTGAGTTTAAATTATAAGTCTTCTATTGCAACGCAATATACGTTTTTTATTGAAAATAAAATAAGGACCTACAATCTTTATCACACCCTTTTATGTGAATATGTAAATGAAATTATAATCAATCAATTCATGTTAAAGGTGTTAAAAAATAGGTTTAGAAGAACACTAATCTCTAACAAACACCGTTATCAAAATGAAGGGTCTTTCGGGAAAAAAGAAAAACAATGCAAAATAAAATTTAACGTATTAATTTTATCATCATTCAGTTCCAATAATGATCTTCTTTATTTACTAATTGGTTCCTTAAACTAAGAAACATACTCTGAATACATGGTATAATCTCACACAGTTTATTTAATAAAATTGTATTAAATCGTCACCTATCTTTTATGTTATTAATTAATATCTATCTCTATGTTGTTTCTGGGTGTTATTTACATTTTTAATTCATTTTTATCTACATAATCGTAAATTATTTTAATAAAATTTGACGTCCATTATTGTTTGTCATGTGAATATTCTTATTTAACGTGATTGTAATGCATTTAATAGTTGTACAGAAGGTTTAAAAGGAACGAACTGTTCAATTCTTGTTAATTGTATTTATCGCCGTCCAGGATAAAATGGAAGAGATATTCTTGCATAGCAGACTGGCGTTTCCGTGAGTTTTACCCATGCCGGAAATTTCATCTGGCATGGGGGGTGCCAGATGAGTCGCGTGCCAAACAACAACGTCATTTTAGCGCCATTTATGAATGAACCGCGTTAAAATGACGTCGTTTTAGAAGTGAAATATGTCTTAGGATGACGTCATTTCGCCGTTGTTATTTAAGTAGTAAGTTCATACGCTATTGTAAGAAAATAGTTATGAATGAAATGACTTTAATTTCCATGAACATATATCATATTGAGGTAAACCATTTTAAATATGAAATAATATGGCAGAATATGCAAGAAAAAATATCTTTCATATGTTTGCGGTTCGGATCGGAATATCCGTCCCTCGGGAACCCGCCTATGGGCGGTAACTCGGCAAGCCTCGTTACCGCCCAATGGGCGGGTCCCCTCGGGTCGGATATTCCGGTCCGAACCGCAACATATGACAGATATTATTAGTCTTGTCTCTATAAAATAAAATGTAAAGAATATTTTTTTAAAAAAGTGTACAGGAATGAGGATAGTTCAATAACTTTTTGGTTAATTTGTAAATGATAACAAAAATTATATAGTTAAACGAAAAACAAGTTAAAAGGACACCTGAAATAGAAGTTGTTCTTCTTTGAAATCATCAATATCAATATGCCATAATTTAATTTCAATGTCAGATATTAATGACAACGGCAGTTTCGAGAAGAGAAAGTTGTAATAATAGAGTAAGTATTTCTATTTGCATTTTTCACTTATATCGATTTCAATGTTTTTTATTGAAATTCTATTTATCAAATATCAGCGCAAAAAACTACAATCGTTTATGCACACAGCCCTTGCTATATGGTGAAAATCACTGAAAAGGGAAGAAAAATTTACCCATCAATCAAAGTTACATGTACATAAATATTTACCCCATCTAAAGGTAGGTGTGTGAGAGTCATTAGAAACATGCTAGATACATGTAACTAAAAAACGTTATCAGTAGAGAGGAAAAGGGTCTTTGCCGAAAATAGTTTAAAAACAAGTGCAGAAGAATGAAGAATGTTTAATTTCGTATATAATTTCTATATCACGATTCAGTTCACAAAATAATGTATCTTACAACATTTCAAATTAATATCTAATTTGGTTCAACTTTGAAAAAAGAAACCAGTTTACTCTGAATAAATTGTATTAATCGTCACCACAGTTTATTCTGAATAAATTGTATTAATCGTCACCCCTCTTTTACTGTTGCATTCACATTGCAATATCTATCTCTAATGTGTTCAATCATGGGTTGTTTCATTTACATTCATTTGCAAGTTGCAGTTGTTTTATCTTTACATAATTCTGTAAAATTGATAATTTTAAGCTAAAAAATAAGAACATTGATAAAGTGTCGCTATTTTATGTGTTTTACACGAGGGATTAACCAAAAATTCGTAGCTTTTTAAATATCTCTTGAATTTCAACGTGTATTGTAATGACATTTTATCAGTATTATCAACACATTTTAAAAGGAACAGGTAACTGTGTCAATAAATAATGATTATTTATTGCTTTTAAATAATCTATGCTTTAATTTAATTTCAAGGTTACAAAATGGGTATTTTCTTAATAGCTACAAGACATAATTATCATGTCATTGTTATGCAAGCATTGCTAACATTTCTTTTTGTATTGAAAACTTAAAAGAAAACATACTTTGCATGTAAAACAGTCATACTTCAACCGTGTATGTTTCTAAAATATACTTCTTGCTTAGTCTCACTCCGAGTAGAGAAAGTTGTTATAATAGCGTTAGTATTTCTATTTGAATTTTTCACTTATGTCGGTTTCAATGTTTTTTTAAGCAAAAATGGGCACAAAAACTACAATCGTTTATGCACACAGCCCTTGCTACATGGTGAAAATTACTGAAAAGGGAGAAACAATTTATCCATCAATCAAAGTTACATAAATATTTACCCCATCTCAAGAGTCATTAGGAACATGTTAAATTCATGCAACTCAAATAACGTTATCAGAAGAGCGGAAGAATGTTAAATTTCGTATATATTTCTATATCACGATTCAGTTCACAAAATAATGTATCTTACAACATTTCCAATAAATATCTAATTTGGTTTAACTTTGAAAAAAGAAACCAGTTTACTCTGAATAAATTGTATTAATCGTCACCACAGTTTATTCTGAATAAATTGTATTAATCGTCACCCCTCTTTTACTGTTGCATTCACATTGCAATATCTATCTCTTAGTCGTTCAATCATGGGTTGTTTCATTTACATTCATTTAATTAAATATTTAATATTGATAATTTTAAGCTAAAAAATAAGAACATTGATAAAGTGTCGATATTTTATGTGTTATACACAAGGGGTTATCCAAACATTCGTAGCTTTTTAAATATCTATTGAATGTCAACGTGTATTGTAATGAAATTTTTTCAGTATTATCAACACATTTTAAAAGGAACAGGTAACTGCGTCATTAAATAATGATTTTATATTACTTTTAAACAAGCAATTATCATAGTATTGCAAGCAATTCATAAGTCCCCTACCGGTTAGAACCCCAGCAACATTCTGATGGGCCATTGGCCGTTCAATTTTACCAGTGAATTAATGACATGAATGAACTTAAATCTTTTGAGTTCTAAGTTTGTCTATATCACAGTAATGTGTTAAGTTTCCCTGCCCTTGTAAGGAAATTATGTTTATACAACCCTGTCATATTATTACGATGTGGGATTTTAAAGTAAATCCTAAAAGAAATGAAGAAGTTGGAGTAAAAAATACCAATTTCTTGAAGAAAATCTAAGTTCAAGGGGAACATAATTCTGGAAATAGTCTTGCTAGAGTATTTAACCTTCTCAAAAATGTTGAGTGATAATAAGAAACATATATATGAGGTTTGAAGTAGATACATTAGGAAATAAAGAAGTTATTTAAAGAAGACAACTTTTTTTTCATAAAAAAATCTATATTCAAGGGAGGTAATACTGATAATTTTTGTGCTACAGTTGTAAACCTTGTCACATATGATGTGGTTGATGACCAGAAACTTATATTTAAAGTTTGAAGTAAACACCTTAAGAAATAAAGAACTTATAGTAAAAAAGCTGACAAATTTAAATCAGAAATCTTGAAATTCAGGCTATTTGTTGCCATAGCAACCAGAATGTTCAACATAGGAAGTAAAAAAAAGATGTGCATAATCTCCAGACTGCCATCTACCCATATTTCAAGTTTCATAAAAATATTTTTAGTACTTTTTGAATTATCACTGGATCCAGTTTATGTGTTAAATTTGCCATATTTTCAGACTATTTGTTGCCATAGCAACCAGAATTTTCAACATAGGAAGAAAAGAAAAAGATGAGCATAATCTCCATACTGCCATCTATCCATATACCAAGTTTCATAAAAATATTTGTAGTATTTTTGCGTTATCGCGGGATCCAGTTTTGTGGACGGACTGACGGACTGACAGACAGACGGACGGACGAAAAGACGGACGGACAGACGGACGGAGGGTAAACCTAAAGTCCCCTCCGGTTAAACCGGTAGGGGACTAATAAGCACATACACGGCACTCGGCTCATGGTAGAAATGCGCAGT